GGGAGGAATTTTCGAAAAAAGAAAAACTCCGAAAAAGTTGTGAAGTTGGGAGAATCAAAGGAAATGGTAGGTGGGGTAGGAGGGTCGTAGCAGAACAGGTTTCAGAACCCCTGATAGGCGTTGGCGCCTTTCCCAAAAAAAGTACCCTCTATAGCGCCTGCTGCAAAGCTGCAACATTACCACCCGGGCGACGCTGCGCCGCCGCCCACCATTGTCCGAACTCCGAGGTTGGATATGAGCGCTACGTTCTGTGAGGATAATGATATATGAGTACAAGCATGCAGCCTATCCACGCGTTAGCGTTTATTGGCCCGATTTGCAACGAAACTCGTTGAGTCATTGAACAATAGCTTGTTTTGCTGGCTTTTGACTGTTTCACTTCGTTTTTTTTCGCCATTGTTTCCCCTCCGCTATCTGTAGCACCCCTGGTGCCATTTTAGACCGACTACCAAATTATCGTGCCATATGTCTTCAGCAGCAGAACTTGCATTATCTCCGATAGCTTGTCCCACTTCCTTCGACTAGTATGAACATTACCAAAAAGCAGATATCCTGTCCTTGTTTTGAAAGAGACCACCTCAAGCGAATAGATGAGGAAGAGGGACAACATGAAGGCAATTCCCGCGACTGCGCATCACAAGTAATGCAGTTCAAAAATAGGATTGTCGGGTGCTAGTTGACTAACCAAAAATTGAAGAAAGCACTAAAAACCACCCGCAATAAGGCCTTCTTTATTTGGACCACCGGACGAGCATAAGATGGTCAAAACCAACTGCGTTTGCAAAAGGTGACAACTGAGAAGAGAGGAGAGAGACCAGAAATCGCTGGCGAGCGAGCACCGTGGCATCGTCACCATGAGACGTGCGACGTTGGCCGGCACGGGCCTACTGGGTGCCTATAGGCCGAAAACCTGCCCGCCCTGCTCTTTTCTTGCCAGTTTTCACCTTTTTGATGTAGCACAGCCTTTATGGTTTCCTACTTGGTCATAATGCACTCTCGAGACATTCTAGCCTTGATTGTCGCAGACCATGCCTTTAACTATAAAGCTATTAATCGTTAAGTATGAAGCGGTCCATCATCCTAGGGGTCGTACAAAGTATAAGAATTAGCCTGCTTGGATTGTTCCTAACATTTGTTGATGAATTATATGCGCCCATTCGAGGAACTCATAAATATGGCTGCAGTCCATGCACTTTCCCACTTGATGGATATCCGTTTATTCACCAAGGCCCAATAGGAACACCCTCTCGTATTTCCAAATGGAAATGTTCGCTAGCCATTGTACAACCACTGAAGCGGTGTTACTCGGCTTTCTCTACGAAGAACTGCTTTCATCTTTTGGAACCCTACTCCACTGCCCTCCGCAGTCTCTTCATGGCGTCCCCTTTTCCACTGCGCTTCTAGATACCACTTACTACTCTCTCTCCAGTCCAGTTGTAAACATCATTTCTCAAACTCACAGCTGAACATTCGCGAACGTTCGGCAGCCTGAGTACATTCTCGGAATTAAACCCATGCCCTCCTTCCATTTCATCTGAGTCAACTTATCAACTATGCCAGAAAACTCACCCATGGGAGGTAATTTCCACCTCTGGGAAAGCTCATTCCTTCACTGAACAGCGCTTCAGTGCAACTACGCTCGTTGTAACCATGCTGTAGAAAGCGATTTCCATTCCCACATTTGTCGCCATTCGTTGCCGGCGCGAGCACCTGGCGGCGATGAGGCGGTCAGCGATTTTTTTTTGGTCTGTACATAGTATACGTAGCAACATCATCATGTTTCACGCTTTATTATGGGAAGATCAGGAAAGGAAATTTAGAGCTAGCTAGCTCAGAAGATAGCCCATCGCGAGTACTTTCAGTATTGCGAAACCATTATGCAAAATCACAACGCGTTGCGTAACGCGACGCTGTTTACAATGCAAATGGCCAACGGAACTTTTGTGGACACCCTGATAGTTTTCGCGTCGTGGTAGGTAGCGCTTTTCGTACTTGTCTCAGGTGGAAATTTTTGCAAAATTAGCATTGCGGGCCTAGTCTAATGAAAATCTATTTCAGTCTGGGATGATGAAGGTGATTTTCCAGTTCTCAGAGGTTAAACAGCGCTCCTTTCCCAGAGCTGCATGCTATGACTGGAGCTCAACTTATAGACTGCCTTATCCTGATTAATGCATAACGTTTCATCCTTACAGATCTATTCAAAGGCTTGACCATGCTTCTGGGTCATACTCTGTGCTGACAACTAGCGCCCTTACTGTCCCTTCCCGCTCCCCCACCCCCCTCCCCCGGCTCCCCGATTCGTGTTTTCTTGTACTAGCTTCTGAAGCGAGACGTAAAAGTAATGTGTTCAGACAACTACAGATTAGCACTTAAAGGCACGACGTGACACGACAAATTGCCAAGACGTATAGGAGATACGCCTAGCATGGACAGAATTCAGCGCCCCTGAGCAGGCGCTGCGTGGCGCCTTTTCCAAGGAAGGTATCCCTGTAGCGCCCTATCAAGCTGCAACATACCGACCCGGACGCCAGCCGCGCCCACCCACCGACAAATGTTCGCATAGGGACAAATGCGAAGGTATATGAAGCAGCTGCGGTGCTGCATGAATATATGAGTAGATACATGCAGCCGTATCTACTGTAGCGGTTATTTGGGTATTGGCACGATGCCAACGGGAATTTCGTCCGAAATCGCAGTTCAGAGTCGTGGAACAATGGCTTTTTCGCAGGTTTTTGACAGTTTCACTTCGTTTTTCGCCATTTTGCCCACTTATAATGCTTCTGCCACCATTTTAGACCGGGTACCAAATTATCATGACTTATGCCTCTGAAATGAGATGTGAAGGTCGGGTGTCGCGACAACAAAAAATTAGCACCTCACGCTAAGCATTATTTCACTTATTGTATCTTAAATATCGGGTCTCTTTCTGCTGAACCCGAAGAACTGTGATAGACGAAACTTGGTCTATCGAATTCCAGACTTATTGAAGTTTCCTAAGTTTGTTTTCATTCAAAAAGTGCGGCACTGACGTTCTCATTCAAAAAGTGCGACCCTAAACGACAAAAACGGCAGTGAAAGTACACGAGGACATGGCTGAATAGCAAAAGCGGAAGTTTCCAAACCAGCCACTCAGCCCTCTTAAGGGTGATTTCGTGGCATGCAACCAGGCCACAGCATGACTTGAACCGCTGTGGGTAGCACGTGTCTATTTCACGTCCATCAGATACTGTTCTCGGAACCCTTCTGTAACCTTTTTCACCTGGATCCAGCTCCTCATGATGAGTTAGTCCTTCTATGCTGCACTGGTCGCTCAGAATCTCGTCGTTTGCCGCGACGATCGAGCTTTAGCGCCGTCAGTGGTCCATCCATACTGCGTGATTTATCACTTGTGATAACGAAGGCAAAAACGGCTATTTTCGGCGACTTGGAGGACTCGTCCATCCCTCGCTGCTCTTGCTCTCTGGTGGCCTAACTGAACTGCTATGGCACATACACCATTTCCCGTTCTCCTTTCCAGGCACGTGGTTGGCGATCATTGCATAGTGTCACCTGAAGAACTCTGATGTTTCGCATTTGAAATACCGCTCGTTGGCTTCTTCCAGCGTGACGTTGATATCGCCGTTGTTCATTGTTCTCAAGGCTTCATCGCCACTAAGAGACAATAGAATTACCTGCTACACCGGTTCACGCTTACAATGCTTTTCTGAGGGCGTTCCATAGCCTTCAGCCTTCGCCCACGTCTGCCTTCTTCGTTACTCCTTCCCACTGCAGATAAAAATTCGTGCATTAAGCACTTTTGGTCATTCGCGGATTGGAATTTTCAATCGGAAAATTGGACTCTTCAGTAGTTTCGCCTGAGATTCAGATTCAGATGAGCTGTGAAAAACGTATAGAAGAATTTCATATGGCACCCGTTTTTCTGGGCTCTCGTTCAAACCTACAATCAAAATTCCTGAGATGCGGCATGCGAGGCTGCGTATTTGAACTGAACTGGCAGCAGCCAAGGTTCTATTGAAATATTTTCTTTTTAGGACAACTGTAATCATGTCTTTGCCCAACACAGCAGGGTAGCACTTGTTTCAAATTGAAATATTCCCCTAGTACCCCATTCTATGCCATGTTCAATTACCACGCCTACTCCGTCCCAGGAATGACGAGTTTGATTCTAGGGAATAAGTGTGACCCAATAACATATCCCGACTCTACCGTATAACATATAAAGCAACTCATGGTCATGGACTGCCCATCGTACGATCGGATACTTACTTACTATAATTACTTATTGCTATCCGGCTCTTCAAAAGTCGGTCAAAATTTCCATCAAATCCCCTCCTGGCTGGAGATTTTTGGACTTGATCAGTTGGCATGTCTTCAACCCCTGAACACGAAGGTCACATTTCTTTGGCGTGAAAACGCACGGTAGCTGGTGCGTTTTCACGCCAAAGAACTGGCGGCGGTGCCATAACTGCCTTGTGATTCTTGCGCCTGTGGAGTTGGCGCCAGGCATTTTCCTTCGCGGCGGACGCAATTTCTATGCTCAGAGGTGTGGGAGGAGGGGTGAGTGGGGGCGAGTGGAGGC